GTTACCTCGCAGAAACCAGGTCACATCATGTATGTATATATATACATATATATATATATATATATATATATATATATATATATATATATTACATTTTAAAAAATAGATATATTTGATTATTAATGAAATCTGATTGCCTTCCATATTCGTGTGTGGCTAGCTTGTGTTTGAGGTGCCCTAATCAAAAAAGTAAAAACACATATCATCATTTTTAGATACTCACAAATCACGAACGAAGAACGCATCCACTTTGCATGAATGTTTTCATTTTTCAAATTTATTTGGATGTTAATGACTTTATGAATTTATTTTAAAAACCTTTTTTATGTTAATTACTTTAATCACTTTATGACTTTATGTTGAAAAACCTCATTCTTAAAAATGTGTTGTTTATTTATTCAACGAGTTATATGGGTTGGGTTCGACCCACTAACTTGTGAACCCACAAACACATATACTTAAACGTGTTATATGGGATGGGTTGGGTTGAGGTTTCTAACCCACCAACCCATGACCCGCCAACCCATATATTATATGCGTTGGTTGAGTTTATATTTTTTGACCCGCCAACCCGAACCCAACTTGATTTTCAGACCTAGTTTAAGTATGGACTGAAGGACCGGTTGTGTAAGAGTGGCATAAATCTATTGGTTGACAATGTTGTCAACAGTTTCTCACTCGGGGTCGATAGAGGATGAGTTGGACTTAGTCCTTGTAAGATGATCATAGACCTTGTACCCAATGCAATGTGTTTTAAATAACTCTTTCCAGGAGCCATAGTTCAATCTATAAAGATCCAAGAGCATGGGAACATAGAATTTGATATTAGTAATTCCATAGATTTTATCTGTGGGAGTGGGTTTGGCACTGTTGCATGTAATGATGAGATACCGAGAAAGAGAAACAGGAGAGAAGATGAAGAAGGTGACCGAGAAAATACCAAGAATAAGAAGCGTCAACTGAACCATAATGGGAGAGGATGATCGATGATGAAGAAACACGTTGTGGAGGATTGGCTAGGGTTGAGTGTTGTAACAACGATAAAAATTAGGTCGATGTCCATCGAATCAATGATAATAACCAATGTTAATGGAAGACTTAATGTACGATGCTCTTATAAATATAAATATATATTTTAATAACGATGATGGTTTTATATATGTTACCATTCGTACATGACTAGATATACACAAATAAAGTCATGTTCATGTGATGAAAGAGTTGATTTATGAAAATATCTAAAGCTATACATGTATTATATGTAAAATTAAGTTATAGATCTTATCATTATATGGAAAAGTGTATAAAAATGAAGCATAAATATATATGTATACATAAATACTTAGAAATCTCAAAATGGGCAATTTGAGTGCACAAAATCAACTTCTTGTCACTTTACACTTTAATTAAAAATATTGGTGCACCTACCCTACTTCCAAATACAACTAGAACTAGGAACTAAAACTAAAGTCAACATCTATGTGTACTCTCTCTCTCACCCTAACTCAATATGTAGCTTCCATAAATTAATTTCCTTGCAACAATCATACTTCATAGTACAAAGGTAGGTGAGGTGAAGTTACTTAACTTTTATGAGCAACCAAAGAAGTACTCTAATGATGAAAATATGGACAAATGGAGTACTTTAGATGGCTAGCACACTCTTTCTCCCTCTATCACACGTGCCATATTTCCCTCACAATCTCTCATCCATGCAAAACCCCAAGCCTTTAATTAGAGTGTAAAGTTGCTTCTAAAAATGGCCAAAGGTACATACTAGGGAAAGTTCACTTCTTCTATGAAAAGGGAACTATTAGAGACCTTTAACCCAAAAAAATTTAGCCTCAAACCTTCTTTCTCTCTACTTACTTTTTTGTGTTCGAAGTTCATCAAGAACACCTCCATCAGAGGTGTTTTCTGTTGTGATTTCGCGGAGCAAAAAGAGGGCAGCAACCACCGAGTTTAGCCACTTGTTACAGCCAACAAGTGCACCAAATAACCACCTGAAGTTGCTTATTTTTCTGCCCAGCCATTCTTCTCACTTGCAACTGCGAAAACAGGAAGATAAGGAGGCAAAGAGGCTGCCGAAACAGCCCCTGCCACCTTTTTGCTGTCAAGAACCACCAAAACGGTGGTGGCATTTCGTGTTTTCTTACCTTTTCGATCCAAAAACAGCCCCATAATCATCATTTCAATGGACAGAATAGTTCTGAGTCTTCTTCCAAGAGTTGGTGAAGCGTTGAGATAAGAACTTCCCGGGAAGTCAAACGAAACCAAACCGAAAATCACGCGCCAAATGTGAGTCTTTATGGCCCGGTTTTATTCTTTTATTGTTTTGGGGGGAGATACATACTAAGTGTTGTGATATAAATTGATGACTAAAAGATTCACATTTTACATGCATGCAAAGTTGTTGTCACATACTAAAATTTTTAATAGTTATATATGCTACAAATACTATTTTTACAAATAAAGTTTGTTAAGAATATTTTGATTAGTATTTGATAAACAAAAGAGTTTTTGTAAAATATTAGACATCTTTATAAGTACTTGTGGAAATAAAAATGTTAGATAAGAATAAGCTAATGTAAGTAGTGTCATAATACTTGTAAGAATGAATAAAAAGTATCGTTAAGAACTTATGTCGTAAATTTTTATGATAGTTGAACATTTTATTACTAATAGTAATATTTTGTCAACCTCATTAATATGATATGTATAATCACATGACTTGTGTATATTAGGGCATTAAGCTTATTTATCATAAAGTTTTGATATGAAAGAGTTAAATGAAATAATAAAATAAAAATATACAAAGGAATTATAAATTCGTATCTAGAGTACGAAAATAAACCACAAGTAAATATATACTTTGGTATAATACAAAATCTCGTCGATAAATAATTTGTATGTATTTTTAAGACTAAGTTTACTTACGAACGAAAACAATATATTTTCAACATTAAATAAAAAGTTGAAAATACAATAATAATGGATTAAGCCGACAAACGGTCAACTCACGTAATACCGGCATATATAAGTTATTCGACTACGCGAACAGAACGTCCTCCCTATCGGATTGTAGTATGAAAATAATTTCATTTTTCTTTGAATGACAGAAAAAAAATATCCAAAGAAACTTATTTTCTGTTTCGGCGTTGATTTATCTTTTTTTATGTTTTTTTATAAATACAACTACAAGAACATTATTAAAATAAATAAATAAATAAATAAGAGGCCAAAACAAGTTATCAGTAAAATCTTAATTGGGGATTGAGAAGAATAATGATCTCAAGCTTCTTGGTTTTTTTTGTTACTTCTCGATCGACAAAAATAGATTATGGACAAAAATAGATTATGAGGCCTCCTTCGTTTAGCAAAGTGTTGATAACGTTTTATATGGCGAACTAGCTTAACATTCTCTTGATCATATATGTGTTTCAAGCAAGCTTATAAGTACAAAAGAGCCCACTATATATAGGGCAAAGTTGTAGGAGTTATGTATATAACTTCTACTTATAAAAGTCTTAAATATAAGCAACCCATTAGTATACTAATAGGTTACAACAATATTGTTTTTATTTAATTTTATTATCAACTACGTTTTAATTTTATAAATATCACATATGCTTAAATAGTAAAAATTAAAAAAAAAATAGATGAGGAGATTTTATAAAATATTTCACAAATACATAGATAAATTAGTTAATGTGATAAAAACTTTTATAATTTGTCAATTATAGAAGATTATTTAAGTTAATAACATTCTGATTGATAAAGCTAGTGAAAATATAGGGTTGGAAAGTAAAAAAGATATAGAAAGGGCTTCGGAGATGCTCTTCCACCATGGATCCTGGTCCGTTGTATCATATAAACTTCAATAACATCAAAAAGTCATAAAGTATGACAAAATACGTGAATATCAATTGGTTTCAAGGTTTTGTCATGCCTTGTGTTTTTCGGAGAATACTGTCATCTATAACTATCATTTGTCAACACACTTCATTAAGGGTGTAACCGAGTCGAGCCAACTCATGAGATACTTGAGATTGACTCGGAAAATACTCGAAATCCGACTCAGCTTAAGTCGAACTCGAGTATTGAAATACTTTTACCCTTTATTTTTTATTATTACTATTATTATATTATTTTACATAATCAAGTTGGGTTAAGTCGAGCTCATGAGCTTAGTCATACTTCTATTTCAATTTAATGTAATTTTATCTTTTTAATAAAGTTTCGATTACATTATCGAGCCGAGCTCGGGTTTTTTAGTCGAGTCGAGTTTCAAGTACTCAGCTCGTTTTACACTACACTTCATCCAAGCTTCAATAATTAAAGGAATTTGTATAATACTGTAATGTTTAGATGTAACATATAATCATTTGACTTTAAATTTCGTTACAATACCGCCATTTAAACTTCCATCATTTCTAATTTATTCCATCTGTTTAATTTCACCCAATCTCTGTCGAATTTCCTGGATATTACCGATAGTGCTAGCAAAATAAATCCTTTGAGATATAAAACATAAGTACAGATCTTTAGCCAATACGCAATCCCTCATTACGGACTTTTCCATCTTTTTTTCTTTTTTTTTTTATCAGAAGACAAATAATGTGACTTCTGATTTACACGCTTTGATGCTACACTACTAAATAATGGTTTACACTATAACCATTGACGTGCTTTCATGCTATACTTTTAAATCATCATATTCACAACAAACTATTTCCTATAAAAGTCTTTATCCATGTTAAACTATAAAAAAATCTACACACGTGATAGTCTTTCAAAAATGGTTTCGGAAACAGGTGAATCCCTTTACTCAAAACTAATTGAGATTGTTACCTAACACTTTTGTGCTACACAATGTATTCACAATATACCATGTCCATATGTAAAAGCTTCATAAAACATCTTTTGACATACATCCCAATTTTCATAAATCAGTTGACTTACCTATAGATAATCATCAAATCTCAAAATAACAATAATTACGATGTATTTGGATGAAACATCATCATAATCTCCTAAGAAAATCATGTTAATTACCAAAGACCAGCTTTTGTAAGTATATAAAAACCCATTAAAAATAAAGTTAGATATGTTAGACCATGTCAAATTTCCAATTGGCTAAACCCTTGAAAGTAGTGCATTGCACAATGATTTGTATGCATTCACACAGAGTTTAAATTTCTCTTCAGCCAACACCTGAAAAAAATAACTGAAACAAGTCATCATCTGGATTTAGAATCCTCAAAAACTTCATATGCATCCAACTTGTACAACTTACTATCACAATTTTATCATTTAGCCCCTCAACTATTGTTTTTTTTTATCGATTAGCCACTAAACAACAATCATACAAAAAATAGTTAAGTGGCTAAATCTAACCTGTGATGGGCCTTGATGCTTATCCGGATGCCATTTTAGAGCTGAAAGCCGGAAACTACAAAAAGAGAGAAATCAGTCTTTTATTTATTTATTTATTATTATCAACACTATATATTTAAATATTTTTCTTATCAATGCATCGTAATTTCAGTTTTTTACATATTACAACATTTTACTTTGAAAATTCTACACAACTATAGCAATAAAAATTACTTTATATTTGGATGATATTGGTATAATTATGTAGATTTTTCAAAGATGCAACTTTTATAATCAAAAACTTACGCGTTTTTTACTTCATCTATCTTTAATGGACCATTTAGTGGCAAATCGAGTGTTATTCTATCTGAATTTGAACCAATAATATAAGGCTCATCATCATAATCATCATCAGACTCATCATCATCACTTGGAGTCCTCCATTTATTTCTGTTATTTGCACCATTTGAATCTTCTCTCCATTCAAATCCATTTGTTTGACTTTGTGAAAAAGACTCTTCCCATGACTTAAAAGACCATGAATACGACTTATTTCCAAATCTTGCCTGAAAATTCATCCCAGAATCATCATCATCATCATCAAAGTCTTCAAAAAAATCTTTTTTCCTCTTGCCTGTATGCAATATAAACCAAAAAAGGCAAGTGAAATTTAAGTTCAAACTCAACACATGAACTGAAGCATTTCAAGAATCTTGTTATGGATAAGTATAAGCTTTGAAACTTACTTAAATATGAAGAAAAGGTGCAGATTCATGATGTATTATTGTATATAAATCTTACTTTTGTTCCTCTTTTGATGATGAGCTTTATTAGCACGAGAAGCTGAGTATTTTAATGGATCCCCTTTGGTTCTGTTTTCTGTTGAGTCAGTAGATGTTCCATCACATTTGTTTGTTCCTTGCTTCTTCAAGAATTCCCCCTAGGTTGATCAAATGTAAACAAGAAATATGAAATATTAAAATATTAAAATCAAAAACTTGGTTTAAGATGATATAATAAACAAATCAACGAAAGTACTTCACTATTTCTTGAATTTAACCCTAATATTAATGAATGACCTTTCAAGAATTCTTTCCTTCAGACATAAAGTTTGAGATACACTGAATAAAGGGTTAGGATAATATTAAGATTAACTTCCAACATTTACCTCCATTCATCATATTGTGGGTGTGGACCCCATTCCACTTCTCCTTCAGAAGTAAATAAGACCCACAATCACATCTGTAGTTCTACCCATACCATACAAGACAAAATGAAAAATAGTAATTCACATTTACAAGAATTGACAAAAAAATTGCATATTTTGGCAATTTTCTATTGGATTCTCATAAGATGATGGCATTCATACCAAGCCTTTCAAGTTTTTAATCTCCCATAAATTTTTGTATGCACTAAACGTTTCATCAGTTCAACTGAAGTAAGACAATTGAAGAGATACCTCAAGTGAAAATTTGGAGCAACCACTTCTGAAGAGGAGATCATTTAAAGCTTTCTTTGCATCTGCACGTTTTTGACGTGTTTTGTATTTGATATATGTCTGGATCATCAACATTATCAAAGAAAAAAAAAAAAAAAAAAAGAGATTAGCATTTTCATGGTGCAGCTGAAAACAACTTTTAAAAAGTTTTTATCTATGTTCTTAACAAATATATGAAGTTTGAAGATGAAGATATACCTTAGATGGTTTTGGGCGTCCTAATTCCTGCATAGAAAGTCATTTGTTATGAAATAGTATTAGGACTATAAAAACAGCATAAGGAAATAATAAGTAGTATAATACAGGGATAAATTATGTAGTTAGATCATTATAATTTTTCTGACCTTTTAATAAAACCATTTTTCCTGGTTTTGATATTGGGTTAAAATACAAAAAAGCACAACGTGCTTTCATCATTTCATCAGCTTAGCCACCGAAGTATTATTATTTATCGATTTAGCCACCAAATTATTACTATAATAATCATGAAACATATAATAGTTCAGTGGCTAAATCGATGATATTGTAAAAGTACGTTTTGCTTTTTGTATTTTAACATTTTCCAAAGCCAAGTAACTGGAAAATGGTTTTCTAAAATAGTCAAAAGAGTATAATGGTTTGTTTAATCACTATAAAAAAAATAGTTAAGTGGTTAAAAAGATTAAATGGTGAAAGTACGTTGTGCTTTTCAGTATTTTGCTCATATTTAGTGTTTCACTGCTTTATCTGGATTAAGTTCTTATGCACATCAAGTTAGGACAACGGAGTTTCAAATCCATACTCCTGATTTAAACCAACAGTTATAAAAGCAGACAGTAGGATGCTTTTTATCTTGGGTATTGTTTTAAAAAAACTAGTTATCATGAATTAGCAATAACTCAGTTGAAACATAGAAGACTTGGCAATTAACATAATTGAGCTAAAAGAACTTAAAAAAAAAATAATAATAATAATAATAATAATAATACACCCTCCATCTCATGAAAACTGCATCATCTGAGTTTTGGGAAAATTTTCAAGCTACAATCACCTATTTGCTCAATATCCTTATCAAATGTACTCTATCTGCACTCAGATATATTTCCTTTTCTTTTTCCAATTACCAGAGGGACAATAGAGTATAGAGCAATTTAAGCATCAATTGGGAATATAACTCAACAATGTCATACAATAAATCAAAATCAATAAATTTGGCAAAACGAAAATGGAATGAAGAGAAACTGATGGAGACTCACCAACGAATTTTTCCATTTGCTCTTCCATTTTTCGAAGGAAGTAGGAGTAGATCGAAAACAAGCCGCAAAAGATAATGAAATTGAATGAGTTCTTGGTTGGATGAGGGAAAAGTTGTGGAACAACAATCTACCGCATCTAGGCACTAGAATTTGCATTCTATTTGAAAACAATTCGATGAACCTTTGTCGGAGATAATAATATACGCCTTGCAAAGGAACACCTAGTATACCTCGACGTTCTTGCTTTGTCTTGGAGAGGAACGCAAAGTAATATTAGGGGCACAAATAAGGTGTTTAAAAGGTAATATTTAAAAAAATAATAATAATAATAATAAAATAAAAAATAAAAAATTAACCAAAGCATAGTGTTTTAAATAAGAAAATTCGGTAAATGACCAAAAAAAAGGGTTCTTTAAAAAAAATGACGATGAAAAAACGGATTTTGAAATCTGACCATAGGATCTGCAGTGCACCCTTAGTAATCCCTCTGAGGAAATGGAACACCTCTGTGGATATTGGGTTTTTAAATTTTTTTTTTTCGTTTTTTCTTTTTTTTTCGTTTATTAATATTATTATTTTTTTTAATCACATAAGGTATTATGTGATTATTATGTAAAAACAAATGACAAAAAAAGTATAAAAATAATGAACTTATGTTTAATATCAGTCCACATAACTGTTTGGGAATCCACAGAACTGTTATCAGCGGATCAATGTACACCTCTACGGATCAGTGTATAAATTGTCATACCGGTTAAAACTCACCCCGGTATTGAAAAATATAGAAATGCCCTCCAATGCACCAACTTCTACGAATGCAAATATAGAAATTTGAAGATGAACTCATATTATAAATAAAAAAAATACAACTCTTTACAGAAATTGAATGAATGATGTGTATTTTAAAATGTGTTTATTATGAAGTTTGTATAAGACAAAAAAACTAGTATTCCTACAAAGTACTGTTAATTCTGCAGCAAAGTACTATTAATTCCGCAACACTGGTTCGATTTGCATTACTATTTCATCAACTCCGCAGCAAAGTATTGTTAATTCCGCAGTACTGTTTCGTCTACTCTGTATCAAATAGTGTTCGATCCGCAGTACTAATATTTTACTATAAATTCACTTTAGTATGCGTATGATTTCATTTAATTTTCACCCTTTCTTTCATTTATTTTTCTGGACACCATCAAATTTTCACTCACAATGGGTTCCAGACCATGGAGCGCTGAGGAGATCATACGTCTAACACGTGCGTATATTACTGTGTACGAGAGCATCGGTGTGAATGATCCAAGTTTTTCGACCCGTTTAACTTATACCTACAACGCTGATCCTCAAACCGTTGCAGGAAACTATCGTAACATCGTAACTGTCACAGCTAAATGGTATGAAGTAAAAACAGAAATTTTGTTATTCAACGATCTTTATAACAAAATTGATGATGAAGACGAGGAAGTGATCTTGGAGGCGGCGAAAGAGGAATACAAATCCATTAGCGATGGGTCGGAATTCGAGTATGAAGCCCCTTGGAATCTTATAAAATATCTCTCGTACTTTTAATGTTTTTGTAGTACGTTATTTTGATGTAGTTGGTTTTTATTAGGTTATTTAGATGTATTTGGTTATTTTAAGGTTATTTATATGTACCGCTTTGTATAAGGTTATTTTTATGTAATTGGTTTTTATTAGGTTGTTTTCATCGTTTGCGTAATACATGGAAACAGATACAAACACTTTATTCCAGAAACTACAAACACTACAAATACATGGAAACAGATAAGACAATCCTTACAAATAATAAGATAAAGAAGTAGCAAACATTACGCATAAAATATTACAGTCTACATGAAATACTCGTTTTTTTTCACTACATTCCAAACGCCATCATATTCGAACTCATTTCCATCACGCTCCATCATGTAATGCTCTTTAACAACTTGTAAAAGTTCTTCATCGTCTGCGTAAAAACGTGGCATATTTTTAATATAATTATACCATCGATTGAACCATGTGACTTTTTCCTTTAATTTCATCCACTTAGTAACAACATCTTCTTTAAGGCGGTGTTGTCCTTCTCCCATCTCATGGTTGAACAAACCTGTTATGCGGGTCCATTCATCACCTACAAGGCAATGAGGCAGAGCTATTGGTGTCACACCCTCGTTAACGTTCATCCAACATCGTGTTAGGACCATCATCTTTGTTGTCGTCCATGGACGTGGAGCATCGGCTGATGTCGCTGCATTTGAAGAAGTTGGTACATTAGTGGCCATTTCAGAATAAAGGTGTGAGTTTATTGAAGAATGAATGATGATTTAAATAAGATAAACGACTATGCGGATTGACAAACAGCTATGCAGACTGACAACAAGCTCTGCAGACTTGCAAACAGCTCTTCGGACTGACAAACAGCTCTGCAGACTGACAAACAGCTCTGCGGACTGACAACCGGCTCTGCGGATTAATGGATATAGATTTCATTTAAATTGGACAAGCCTTTTAATTTTGAGAAGTTGTGAAAGTTGTGAAAATGAGTTCCTTCAATGAGGTGTTAAAAAAAAGTTTCTCCAACCTACCGATTTTCTTTCATAATCTGCAAATAACCAATCCTAACACCTTCACGTGCATTAAGAAAGATATGTACGATTGTTTCCAATTTTGTTTTGTGGCATTGGGATGTGTGGTATGTAATCATTTATACTAAATTTTTGGTTATTTGAAGTTGTTAACTGGCTACTATTCTTATCTTTTATTGCAGATTCGTATGTTTCTCACGTCTATGATACCAATCATATTCATTTGTCACGTACATCTAATTGGGACTTACATAACATCCATGTACATTGCGGTTGCTTTAGATGGAAATCATGAACCCCTACTTATAGCAGTTGATTTGGGAACCATAAATTGTGACGAGTCATGGGTATGGTTCATGAGGAGGCTGAAAGAATGTTTAGGTGACAGTATAGAAGTTGGTTTCATAAGTCATATGTCTAACTCTATAGACTTCGTAGTACAGAGAGTATATCCTGATTCATATCATGGTTATTGTTGTAAAAATATAGCTGAGAAAATACGGGCTTCCACCGGAAACAATACAGTTGTGGAGCAGTTGTTTTGGAAGACATGCAAAATGTATAATGTGTCTGATTTTTATGGGATTTTGAACACCTTACAAAATAAAGTGAATGAGAATGATCTTCATTTGCTTGACAATATTGCCATTGCAAAATGGGTACATGTATTTTTCCCTAAAGTACGTTTCAATGTGAAATTCATTGACATTCCCGATGTCGTCAGTTGGATAATGACAAACAGGCATGAGTTACCAATAACAACAATCATTCAAATGGTCCATGACTTCATGCAAGGAGTGTATGGTCAACATGTTGCATTCGGAGGTAATAATGATATGTTTTAATATAAATTATTGTATCATAATTTTTATTTGATGATTCAGTTAATTTCATATGGGGATTTCATGGTCTTCTGGCCCCTTATGCATATAAGGTGCTTCAAAAAAGATTTATCAACTCCGATGGTTGTAGGGTTAGGTATATTATTGGCAACAGATATGAATTGAGTAAGTATTTAACCACCGAATCCGTGCAATTAGATCGTGGCATTTGTACTTGCGGGAAATGGCAAAAGTGCGGTATACCTTGTCATCACACTATAGCATCACTACAAAGGCTTGGAATTGAAGAAATCCAACTTATGGTAAATTATAAGTTAACTATTGCGGTGTATCGAAATGATTATCAAACTGAGATGGTAAATCCTATTCCAAACCTTATGCATTGGGAAATACCAGTTGAAAGTGTTGTCGTCTTACCTCCACGACAATTTACTTGAATTGTAATTTATGGATGACAACTAATATTAGTTTCTATTTACTTTTATGTTAACCTTAGTTTTGGTCCGTTGACGTTGTTATATTTTAATAAATAATGTGTACCTTTTAATTATTAATATGTACCTTTTAATAAAAAATTGTAATATATGGATCACAATTATTGGTTAAAGACAGCTCTGTGGGCTGACAAAAAGCTCTGTGGACTGACAAACAACACTGCGGACTGACAAAAAGCTCTAAGGAGTTGAAGAGTGTATAAATAGTCATAGATGATCGTTGAATTTTTCGTAAAGAGTTGAATTTTTTTTATTTATAATATGAGTTCATCTTCAAATTTATATATTTGCATTCTTGGAAGTTGGTGCATTGGAGGTCATTTCTACATTTTTCAATACTGTGGTGAGTTGGTACAATATCTAACCGGTGTGACAACTTATACACTGATCCGTAGAGGTGTACACTGATCCGCAGAGGTGTACACCGATCCGCTGATAACAGTTCTGTGGATTCCCAAACAGTTCTGTGGACTGATATTAAACATAAGTTCATTATTTTTAACCTTTTTTTGTCAAATGTTTTACATAATAATCGCATAATACCTTATGTGATTAAAAAAATATTAATAAACGAAAAAAATTAAAAAACCCAAGATCCGCAGAGGTGTTCCATTTCCTCAGAGGGCTTACTCGATCCGTAGAGGGTGCTCTGCGGATCCTATGGTCAGATTCCAAAATCCGTTTTTTCATGGTCATTTTTTTCAAAGAACCCCTCTTTTTTGGTCATTTACCGAATTTTCTCGTTTTAAATTTATTGGATAACGACATAAAAACCCAAGTTTGTAAGTTTTTCCGGTTTTACTATTTTATGGATTTTAGGTTCATTAAAATTGAATATTTGCAACTTTTTTCAATTTTATCTTTTGGTTTTAAAACTCTTACGTTTGGCATAAATGTTCGGTTTTACCATTTTTTTATTCTTTAAAAAGTCTTTAAGTTTGGTTTCCTAGTTCATTAAAGCTCTTAAGTTTGGCAAAAAAAAATTGTTTTTGCCATAAATTTGCAAAAATGATAAATTTGAAAAAAGAAAATGCAAATTTAAGGCATTAATGTACTTGAAATACAACTTTGGATAAAACTGATAAAAACTTACAAACATAAGGATTTTAATGGCATTTATATAGGATAATGATTTAAAGGGTAACCTACCTTCATTTTTTTTATATTTAGATATTGAATTTTTTTTCCTTGTTTGATTTATCTCTTAGTTATTTAAAATTGTTCACATTGTACCCTTATGATCGGTTACAACGTGTCATACAGGTAAGATGTGAATAATTAGGGGTGAGCGTAAGGGGGTACCCGGCTGAATTCCTTGGAATCGGAATCGGAACCGAA